TGCATTCACTAAATTCTACTGCAAATGCAAAAAATAGAGCAACACGTCCGATTGCACTGCAGGCGTGGGGGGAGGGGGGGGCATAGAATCGGTGCAATTGAATTCACGCCCCGTCCCGCCCCTGAACGCAGGTGGAAGTTTCATGAGTGATCGCTGTGCGTTCCAGCAGCTACCTCTCTGGAACGTAGCGCTTTCAGTGTGAACAAGGCCTATAGTGACACTAAACTCAGCAGGTAAACTTTAAAAATACATTCAAGTGCCTTAACTATTCACAAAAATGTATCGGATTTGTATATCACTCGGCTGTAGATCCTTAAATCATCTCTGAATTGGTGCTGACACTGTCCTTCCTTCTGGAGGGGGGTACTTTTGTTCCCCATGGCCCCTGTGTGTGTTGTAAAGTAGTCACTGCTCCAAGTTCACTCCTGTGATGGACTACAATCTCAATACAGATTTGTAAACTAAAGGTGAGATTGTAGTCCATCACAGGAGTGAGCAGGAAGTGCGAGGGAATCTTTCTAACGGGGCTCCAAACAGTTCTAATCCTTCACCACTCCATCTAAAACAAGAAAAAAGGTTTTGGGCTTGACATACTCTACTTTTTTCTATAAATATTTGTTATAAGGTATATTATATATCTCCTTTTTATAACATGTCAACCCTAAAGAACTCAGCTCGTAATAAAGACAATAGTTTGCATCGAACCATCTCATTGATCCATCCCTTTGGTCCTTTTAGTTTTCTTCGCCTCAAATTTTCACCCAAAGTCCCTCAAGGGGAAGAAGGAAACTCTGGTTTGGTAGCAGCCTTGCTACTATACCAACACTACTAAATCTACAATTTTCAACATCATTAGGACATCATGGCTGCCTTCCTCCCTCCACACACACACACTATAACAATATATCCAAAATTACATATTTAATAATCCTAGTGAAAAAGAATTGGTACTGGAGGCTGTCATTGGCAGAGATTGCAGTTTACATACCTCATATCCTTTAAGTGATGGCCCAACTAATACTACCGGTCTCATAGATGGCACAACATCATAAGGCGGAATATGCTCGGTCTAAAAATAGAACATTGACCCATTAGCTTGCCCATTCAGGAAACATTTGGACATTACTGCATGAAATGTAGTCACAAGAACTCACCACTTTTTGCTTCTGTTTGGCTGGAAAAGAAAAATGGGACAGTTAAGGTTATTATTCACTTTACTGGAGAGCTGAAATGGCCTTGACCTCAAACTATGATGCCTTCACTGGTAGCTATTTTTTTGGCTAAATACATTTCAGGTGCATCCAAACAAAAATGTTCAAAGTCTTACTCCTTTATTTCTTTAGAAGGCAGCCACAGTAGAAAAGCCTGCTGGCAACACTACTGACGGGTTAATGTTTCATACACCTGTGAGTATTTTTATTACCAAATGTTATCTTGCTGTATTACATGACTTGACTTTAATAAAGAAATATTGAGATGAAAAGCCTGCTGGCATGCTGTAGTGAGAGACCCTTGCTCTCTGTGTGGAAACTGTGGTCTCCCTGCAGAGGTCTGACACATCCCTGCTAAGTCAGCCTTTGAGTTCTGCAATCAGCAAATTTGATATAATTGGAGAATTTTAGATTTGACTGAACAGGTGGCATGTCCAACCTCTGCAGAGAGAAAACTGCTTTCACACAGAGAGCAAAAGTCCTTCACGGCAGCATGCTGGCAGGGGAAAGGCTTTTCTACTCAGGGTGTGGCTGCTTTCTACAAAATGTAATACTTTGCTGTGTTTTGATTAACCTGTAATGTATTTAATTCATTTAAACCGAAGGCCCATTTCGGCTTTGGGGGAAACCTGTACTGAAGAAGGCTGCAATTAAAGACCTCTTTCTGAAAATATAAATTCCCTGGCTGTCATTCTGATTCAGGGGCTTCAGTATGTCTTGAGTCACTATCCTGTGACAAGTAGGCAGATAAGAATTCTGACTTCCATTTGCACGTATCCCATGCATGTTTGTTCTAAATTAGTGTCTATTAAACGATTTATTCTAGAGACAGCCAAGCAACTCAAACTATCAGAAAGTCAGCAATAGCATCTTATGTACAGGTTTCTTTGGATACAGTATATTCAAGGGGGCACATGAAAAGAGGGCCCTGTTTACAAGTACTTACAATGTATTAGGGTATAAAGACATGATGGAGCTGGTGAAAATGCACTGGTGGAGCCATACACCAACAATGCTGGCAAGACTTCCTGATTCCGAGTGTTGATTATAACTGGCCACACATGGGGTATTGGAAGAGACTTAGGGAATGTGATAGGCTGTAGGTTGGATGGGTCATATGGGAGTGCAGGAAAGAGGAAAGTTGAAGTGTGCATAGGAGATGTTATTGGGTTGTAGGAGAGTTATGCTGTGCATGGGTAGGGTTCTGAAGACCCTCATTCATAGTTAGGTTTACTGGGATCCTTTTAAGAAGCACATACTGATCCTGTCACCCCTTCCTCCAGTTTCCCTGAGCAATGGTGCTAAATAGAGATGTGGATCAAGCCCCTATTTGGCATTTTGGCCACTTTCCAGTCATCAAATGCTTCCAAGGTGAGGTGACTGCCAGAGGTAGCAATGGGCTGCTCTTTTGTAAGACTCTTTGACTGCCAGTGGGGCTTGACCTTCCCTGATTTCACAGCTAAGTTCTGCCCATTGACATTTCACTATAAAATAAAGCTGCCCCTGTGGTCAGAAAGGACATGTTTATTGGATAGGAGGGTAGAAGATGTTACAGTTTACTCATATCTGGGAAAGTTAAGCCCCTGAGACAAAGTTAAACTACATCATGGAAGGGCACAGAAGTATACTATCTGACTAATAATGGCAATAGCAGGCATCATGTGTGCTCTTAGGCTTCAGAGGAACTGAAATCCTAGCTACTTTTTCCTTATGGGCCATTCTCACAACTGTGCTATGTTAACTCTGACAATACCAAACATTTTATGTGCATTATGGTGCCATTTATTATAAATGACATCCCAACACACCTACAACGGACTGCGGTCTGTTGTGCTAGCAAAAATGCAGCAGGTCTGATTTTTTAGTATGTAGTAGTGCATTAGGCAACCCATTTAACTAAATGAACTGCTTTAACCCAATGCACCTTAGCATGCAACATAACACGTGTCCGTTAACGCACTGCAATGGACCGCCTTGGCATGAATGACCTCTATTTTCTGTGGCAGCAGAAACTTGGCAGCCTACCAGTCCTCTAATGTAAACACAAAGCAGGGGTTTTGAAGTTGTTAGAAATTGACTGAAATCGACTTTAGAGCCCGTTCACACATACAGCAGTGGCTGGCCATTCACTGCCAGGGCATTTAGAAATTTGTTTTCTATGTGCCCCATTCACACCAGTTGCGATGTGCGGTGTGGTGGACTGTGGTAAAATGTGGACATACCACATTTTTACGCAGGGCACTGGCTGCCACTGGAGGTCACGCACTACAATAGAATGCAAACTGCTGCCATGTGGAGGCATGAATGAAGTGTATACTTTATTTTCTTAACGCTTTTTAGAGTGTACAAACAAAAAAGTAAACAGTCCCTCCCTTGCAATGTAACAACTTAAGGCACTGTACACCTCTGATTTCACCCAGCTGACAATAGTCATATGGTAAAATTCTGCCATTTAACATGCAGCTAGTGTGAACAAGCTCTTAAGAGTCTTTGTTTTGATCTTCGAGGATTACTTCACAGTACAAGCAGCTAGAGAGGCTAGGGATAGCTTATTTAAAAGCCTGTTCGCTGATTGTCCAGTATATACAAACATGTCTATAGCCTGAGCATAAGTACAATTTAAAAGTACAATAGATCATCTGGGTAACATAAGCTCCTTTTAACTATCCTTGGCTTGTTCTATTGCCAAAAAACAGCCCCTCATCAGCCTCAATATTTTGACTTAAAGGCAATACACAAATAACAATCAAATACACACACAAAAATCACAAATACAAAGATCACTAAATTAAAGTAAACTGAGCTACCCTACATAAAGTCCCCCAAAACACACACCCCCTAAAAACTGCTTCAATGAAGCAGCTCAATGGTAAAATCAGTAATTTTGTAGTGAAATCAATTTCACTTACTAGTGATAAGTGACTCGGGAAGCACCGAAGTTAGAGATTCACCATGACAGTGACTTCAGTCACCACAACTATTTGCGATTCAACCAGAATTGCATATACCGCTAAATGTAATCACCAGAAACTAAGCGATCTACCTTTAACTGGTCCGATTGACCATCAAAATCCGGTCAATTGTGAAGTCAAACCTGGGCAGTGAATTGACCGCTTCAGTGAAAAAGGAAATTTGGGATTACATTTTAATGGATATAAAATGGGAGAATCAATTGCAATCTCATTGAAAACGATCTGAGTTTTTCATCGTGTTTGATTGGTCCAATTGGGTTCCATCTCTTTGCAATTGATAAAAAGAAAACCACCTTAACAAAAATGGAATTGACAGTTGAATTGCTTAATGAAATTTCCTCTGTAGAGCCATTTAAAGAGACATCACTGGCATTGGAAACCCAGGAGCATCTGAACCCATTGCATCCACAGGACTTCCAACAACGACGTAAATTAAAACAGCCAGATGATTGAATAAAACTTTAACAGGGTTATACACAAAAGGGTGAAGAGTTTAGAGAACGCAGGAGAAGTGAACAATCTAGGACAACATAGCTGATTTGGAAAATTCTCCAATTCAGCTCACTTTCCAGTTCAGCTATGTTGTCCTAGATTATTCACTACTCACGCCTTCTCCAAACTCTTCACCGTTTTGTGAATAGACCTGTAAATATTGAAGCTGTGGCAGGAATTCATAATGTTCCCTGGTAGGTAGACTAAGCCCACTCTTCTCTTACTCTGTGGTTTTGTCTAATTGTGGTCATGACAATAGAAAGAGCAGAATAACACAAGAGCCAACGTGGGAGTGGAGGACGATGGAACATTCCTGCATTATCTGTCTTGTACAGAAGTTCTACCTTCTCAGTACAGTCATGGAAGCAGTTGTTTTCACGTCAGTGCGGCTGTCTTTCTAATATTAGTACACAGCTCACTGTCTCATTATGTGTGTTGACAGGCTTCTGCAGATAACTGCTTTTCTCACATCACGAGCTTCAGACATTTTTTAGAGGAGATATCACCCCTTTGTCATGATTATATAAAAAAAAATCCATCCTAATTCTAATTTATCTCTAACAAATCCATACTGAGCTTTTTGTTTTTGGCTATCTTGCAGTCTTGGTACATATGTACACATACTGAATGGTATAAAAATTATTTTTATTTAGGAAGAAACAATGTGAGTTTATTGTATCAAGGAAAGAACTGTGAAGTGTTGTCTTACAGTGAATGTGTCACTTTGTCCATTCAGAGAAAAGTGACAGGTTCTCTTGAACCTCTCTCACCTGAACCCCGAGTCTAATCCAAGAGTATAAGCTAAGATTACTTGTGTGGGTTGAGGGGCTCTGTGCAGCTAACAGATACCCCAGAACTGGCAGGTCACTTATGTTATTACTGCAGAACTGTGTGAGACATACCCTTTGCATGAAATGAAATTGGTGTACTGACTTTGCTACAACTGCCCTAAAACCAGTGAGTAGACTGTTATTTTTTGCTCACTGTTTGAAGATGAACCCCCTACATTGGCTATAGATTTACAATTGGATTTGGAAAAGACAAGTTTAAAATCTAATAACTGATGTGAGCTACAGTATATTAGCTACATGCAGTCAGCCAAGTGTGAAAACTTAGCAAGTTTTGCCAATTAATAGCAAAATTATCTAATGATAATAGCAGCAAATGGCGGAATAACCCATCTTGGATGGGTACCAGTGTTCACAAAACATTAGCAGGCATTAAAAGCTTTATTAGCAGTTGCAATTTTTTTTCCACTAGCTCGGAGGTTAATCTAATTTAACTCTTAGAAATGCGCACAGGTAAAAAAATGGCATTGGGGTTATTCTAAGGACTGTACTATCTATAAATAGATATGTTCAATAATTCAACATACCCAATTCAACGTACGGCAGATTATACAGTGTTATTGAGGGGTTACATTGATAACTACGGGCAGACTGCCAGACAGACAACTGTAGAGATGACATTGAATGGAATTGATTGAATTTTACACAGTTCACTTGAGTTGTGGGCTATCATGCCAGCGAGTTATGGTTGATGACACACAACGTGGGGGGTGTGGCCAGTCTTTAATCACATCTAAAAGCATTGCCTGAGAATTCTCACCAGCAGATGGAGGGGTTGCTCGAAACGTACCCGATACCATTTCCCCGAGACTTGATGAAGACGTGCCACTTGATTTACTGTTGGAAATGAACAAGTTTTATGGTTAAACCAGTCAAGCAAAACACCTATAAAGCACAATATATTTCAAAGATGGGTATCAGCTAAGTACAACTAAACTAATATTTTATTGTAATCATATGTGAAGTCTGGTGGGCTGAATTACTCAGTGGCTTCCTATTATCTCTCTAGGGACTTCTGCCTTTGTTGCGACTATTAAAGTGGAACTGAACACATAAAAGGAAGATTTACTATGTTATAGAGAACATCTAGAAGTGTTAATTGTGCTTAAGCACTACCCTGAAAATGTACCTTTTGTATGGAATTCCTCATGAAAAATAGCAGTGCATTTCCCGGTTATGTGAGGGTGCCTAGGCACTCCTGTGCCTACAGCCTCATAGCTGTATACCTGTATACCTGCAGTGTGAGATCTAAAGCACTGCTGCCTCTGACTGCTAGTCTTTGGAGATTTGGAGTGAGATATTTCTACCACTAAGCCTGTGATTGGGTGAAACGTGTCAGTGGAGGTGGACCTTCGGTGGGACACCAGTGATGTGGTACAAGCTGTAATAAACTATCCCAGTAGAATACGGTGTGCGGCCAGATTTTCTTATGTTTGTATGGGCTTATAATCGAGCAAGAATGTGCTCTCAGCATAAAGCAGCCAGCCTTTTCTGAGCCATGGGGAAGAGGCGCTTCTTTTATGTGTTCTCCCTGTATCACTATTGTGCTGTTCACTGTTCTGCTCGCTGGGGCTCTCTTTGGAGGAAGCAAAGCCCTGCCTCTATCAAGAGGCCACCTCCACAAACAGACACAAGTCAGTAATGGGGAAAGGATCAGCTGCACAGGCAATACTGGTGACTAGTCATCTAATTCATCCTCTACTGATACTAAGGGATCACTTCCAGAGTTCAGTTCCTCTTTAAAGGACCACTATAATGGTTGAAAACCATTGTATTCTGGTATTTATATGCTGTTAATACCTGCAATGATAAATTAATTTTTTTTAACACATGACTTTAGCTATATTTACATGCAGGACAAGTTGTCCAATAACAGTGACAGTTACAGGGGCGGCTTACAATAGCAGCTTCTATTAATGTAGGAAGAGTAAAACCTGTTGCTGTTACTGTTGAAAAGTGTAAGGCTTTAGTTTTCTTACTTACTTAAAGTCCATTTAAAAAATATCTATTTAAGACTTCCCTGTCCACAATTTCTTTGTCAAACAAACAGTGTTGTCCACTGTTAAGGAAAGTGTAAAAATAACAAATCTACTGACAGGATAAACAGGTAATATAACTATGAAAAAAAGGAAAGAGAAGGACGCCCACCCTAGTGTAGAGGGTTTTTAATGATTCTAAGTACAAATACAGAATAAAAACATACTCACAAAAGTGGATCAATAAAAGCATAAAGATGAGCCTATGCGACTATAGAATGGCTGCACATATGTCTGTGTGTCAGCACGGGACTCCTGTAATGACGCGTTTCCGGGGCCCTTGCGGTTCTATTCACATTTCTGTTCATATTTCCATTTATTCTTTATACTTCAGATTGGCGGCTTCCACTAAATCCAGTTTGAGACTGAGACACACAGGTCATTGTCCCAAGAGTTGAATATTATCCCGTTGGCATTTTGAGATCACATTCACGAGCATTTCGTTCTCTTATTTCTTGTTTTAATGCACCTTTTTGTCATTTATATGTATACCCTTCATTGTGATTTTATGAGCACCCGGCTGCCAATTAAGTGTTTTAAAGTTTTTATATTGATTACTAAACCAAGTTTTTTATATTTATATTGATTACAGAATCTAGCGTTTGCTATAAGAGCAATCAATGCTCTCCTTTTATATATACAGTTTTATTACTATGTCTTCCAATATCTTCAGTATTTTTAGCAGTTTTTAGCATATTTATGTCTTGGTCCTCAGCCACACACATACAGCCTTTGATATTTTACAGTTTCATCCTGTATACATAAAACTAGAGCCTCGATTCATGCTTCACCTGTCCTGTATTCCCCTTTTCTCACACAGCAAATACATGCTGGTTGGCTCGATTTTTCTGCCTGCTGATTGGACGGCGAGCACAGTGTGTGAGAGTCTCAGGGCTGGACTTCACTAAGAGGCAGCTGATTGGCTCATCGGCATTCCACCCATTCTAGTGGAGTTAGCCACATTAATAGATGCACACAGCCATGACAATCAGACGCCGCCCACAGAGGCGTGTCCTTACATCATGGATCTTGGCTCACAGGTCTGCATCAATAACACTCCCCTATATAAAGCTGTATGAGTGAGGCAGTGGATATGTTCTGACGAAGGGGGTGTGGCCCCGGAAACGCGTCATTACAGGAGTCCCGTGCTAACACACAGACATATGTGCAGCCATTCTATAGTCGCATAGGCTCATCTTTATGCTTTTATTGATCCACTTTTGTGAGTATGTTTTTATTCTGTATTTGTACTTAGAATCATTAAAAACCCTCTACACTAGGGTGGGCGCCCTTCTCTTTCCTTTTTTTCGCAGTGTTGCAGCTTCCCAAGCTGAAGTGGGGCAGCCCTCCTAGTCAACCTCGTTTTGTACTATTCATCTGTTGGTCGAATTTAGCGCTTTGGACTTGTTTTCACTGGTAATATAACTATGTTATGAGGGGACTGCTGTGTTAAAGCAGAATTGCGGGTCATTTTTTTTTTTTAACACTTGCAGAGGGGCTACCCCTGCGCTGCAAGGGTTAAGTGCTTATTTTTGGCTTGCTCTTAGAACAATCCCTGGAGCCTCTGTCCCCTCTGCTGCAGTGGTCTAAGGTTCCTGAGTCATGACGTTCTATACACAGTGTATAGGACGTGAGGATGCCGAGGGACATGCCATCACTGCAGTGGAAGAGGCAGGCTGGAGGGAGCACTGTCACAGCCAGCTAGGCTCAGAGTATCGAGTGAGCATAATTTTGTTTCTTTTTATCCTAGGCAATAACAAGCCCTTGACCCTTGCAGTGCTGGGATATCCCCTCTGCAAGGGTTAATAAAATGTTTACCAAGTGACAGACATTTTTGCTGTTGCCCATCGTTCTACTATAAGAACAGGCTTTCTGTTATTCTCAGCAGTGTCTCTGAAATCAGCACTTAGTCCAAAATTCCATTATTACTCACCCTCCATGAAATCGCCCCCTCTTCTGTTCTTGCTGTATTCGTATATTCTCCAGCCTCAGAGGACTTGGAATGAAGCCGACGTCACAGCCTTCTTTAACCAACCGCCCGATCCACCAGTCATTGTTGTATTTCTAAAACGGTGAATGGTTTATTGTAAAATATATTTCATATTTTGTACACACACACATACATATTCTATGGACAATGGAAGAAGGCTCAACTGTCTCCTGTGGGATGGGGTATGGGGCATTTCGTTAAGTTGGCCATATACTGCTTGAATTTCATCCATTTCCTGCTGGCTCGCCCAAAATTCGAGCTGTGTGTGGCCCTGCCAGATTGATGAGAGTCAATTATTCAATACATTTTTGTTGTAGGATCCGGGTGGAAGATTGTCAAAAGTGCAGTCAATCAGCCACAGTCACTGTTTGGGTATTCTGACAGCCAGCATCTGGGAATTCTTTAGCCCAACGGGGGATTCCTCCATCCACGCTGTGAAGCATGAATGGAGCAATCTGTGAGATTTCTATGATTGTATGGCCAGCTTCACTAACGTCCTTAGTAGGGCTGTGCAAATTAACGATTAATTTCTCGATTCATCGTTAATCTTTTTGATCGATTACATTTTTTTTGATCGATTACATTTTTCTAAAAACTTGCTGCACGAGCGCCACCCAAGGCATTGGCCTATACACATACAGCACAGCAATGAAGTAATAAAATGAACTAGGATCCCACTAATCCAGCACGTTATTATTCTGAGTTGCCCCGCTCAAGCGGCGGCCATATTGAGTGGGGCACTTGAGATTAATAACGTGCTGGATTAGTGTGATCCTAGTTCATTTTATTACTTCATTGCTGTGCTGTATGTGTATAGGCCAATGTAGTTGGATCTGTATGTGCGTTATAATTAATCAAAATTAATCGATTAAAAAGAATTTCCATTAATCGAACACGAAACTTTTAATCAGTAACAGCCCTAGTCCTTAGTATTTTCTAGGTTGCCTTACCTGGGTGTGATTGCTTGATGTGTCTGTGGGCAGCCCTGGATAAACATTCTCATTTGGTGGGATGTGAATGTGCAAATGCTTCCTGTGTTTATCACCATGAAGAGGGAGAAGCCTTCCGACGGGATCAAAAGCACTCCCTATGCTTTCTCTGAAGCACGGATAAGTGGTAATTTTGGCCAAACTTGATTTCCCCATGAAAACAAGTTTGCCTCTCCTGAAATTAGTCTCTAATTTCACCACGTGGCCCTGCAAGCTGAAATTAGCTTACCATCTATCTAAACCCAAGATGAAAAAAACGGAAAGATTGCAGCTTACCAGTCTTTTGATGTGGTGGCGGCATTAATGTTCTTTTTTTTTTTTTCAAGGTTTTATTTTTTTAATCTGTTGATCCTGCCAGTAACACACTTCCTTCAGTGACAACACTCACTAACTGTGCTGTATCTATGGAGGAGCAGCATTTTCAAGCTAGAAATGAACTACATAGTACCCCCTACTCTTCTCCATAAGAGAGGAGCAGAGACAAGGGAGAACAATGCTAAGAAATGAGAGTGCAGCACAGGCAGAAAGAACAGGAAGTTATTAATTCACAAGATGTCTAGCAAGATCAACATGTATTCTTTTGCACTAATCGAGCAGATATGGCAAACCACTATCAATGGTATATTTAAAAGACCAAAAGGGGGCAAAAAAGAGTTTTGTTGGGATTTATATAAACTTTAAGTAAAGAGGTTCCCTTTAAAGCGAACACCATGATCCTAGTTGTGGCCCCCTTATGTTGTGTATTACGGCTTTGATGATAAACAAAGCCATGTCAGATCCCTTTGACTTTATTTCTAGCATTAGGGTTAATATTATGCTTAGCATGTTTTGGCGCAATGAGAGTCATTTAAAGAAGAACTCTTTATAAAATGAACATTGCAAGGCTTAAGAGATCATTTTGTCTGCGGTCCCTGCAGACTCTTCTCCCCTGGGTCACTGATGTCACACCGCCTAATGCAGTCCATTACACGTGAGGACGCCGAGGGACATAACACAGCCAGAGTGGAGGGGGAAGAGAGGTAAGCGGTCACTGCTGCAGGACCAGGGATCTTGTGGGTATTTCTTCTTAATTTTGACCAAAACGAGCAGTTAACCCTTGTAGTGCGGGGTTGCCCTACTGAAGGGTTAATTTTTTTAAATCTTGAAGTTCTTCTTTAAAGCCTATCGCAGTTTTAAAATTGACCATCATTTAGCCTTCCCCATGGTAAATTTTGAGGAAATTTCCAACATTTTCACTGAAATTTCAGCAAAGCAAAAACTCTCAGTTTCCCTCATCCCTACAGTATAGTTGCATTGCTATTAATTGGTTTTCCTAACACTGGACAGCCTTTTCTAGCCTTCTGGCTTCCTCTTGCCTTGCCATGGTGCAGGCAGGCCATCAGCACCATGGACCCGAATGATGCTAATCCAGGGCTGGGTGGGATCCCTTCAGAAATTGACGGAAGTTTGCCTTCATCCAGGCTCTGCCTCCCACCCTCTGCATCTTTGACTCTTGATCTTATGGTAGGACTCTGATGTAAAGGGAAAAATGAGGCCTCTGATGTGGTGTGGACTTCTGATGTAAAAGAGGGGGGGGGGACTCTGATGTGAAGACAGAACCCAACTTTTGGTTGTGTTTTTGCATGGAGTCACTCTCTAAAATCCACACAAGACCCCTATCTGGGTTAAGGGTCTAATATGGATTTAGTAGAGACTAAACATAATTTTCTACATTTTTACATTTTAGACTGGGGTGCCTTGAGATTTTGCATAATTTTACAGGGTGTTGTGACTGAAGAAAGGTTGAGAAATGCTGTATTAGAGAGACAAGATTAGGACTGTTAAATCTGTTACATAGAAGAAATAGCTGCTTTGTGTAAGCTATAAGTCACTAAAATCATAATAGGGCTATGGACTCTACCCGCGTGATGGCACTGGTTCTTGGTGATTGGCCCTGCACTGTCACATGGACTAAACCATAGTCTCCTACATACTGGGTTGTCCCTATAATGAGACAGCCTGAGGCAGTTGCCTCAGGCGGCATCACATCGGGTCATGTGGGGGGCAGCAGGTATGCCTGCCACCTGTTTTCTTCCAAAGCATCACAGGTTGCTAAGAGCTCTTAGCAACCAGTGATGCTCTGGCTGGTGTCCAGCCTGCTCACTAACATCACTGGTTGCCAGGAACTGAGCAGGGCACTCTGGCTGGCACCCCGCCCAGCTCCTGGCAACCAGTGATGTCAGCGAGCTGGGAGGGATGG